TCCCTTTGAATATCTTCCTCGGTTTTGAGATTGGAAACCCCTTTATCCTTGATGCTGCTGCACCAAATTTTCTTGTAGAGGAGTTGAATCGCGATTCTTGTGCTTCTCAATTCTTGCCTTCTAATGCATCAAGATCGCTTCGATGATAGCCACCGTGTAGAGATCTGACCTGGTGATACAAGATGTGATCATGGTGTCGTATTCCTCTGATCATCCATCAAAAATCACATTGATGTGATCTTCAATGCTCAGAGGCGCACTTATGGCGGCTAGGGTTTTGACTAATTGCTTGATCTGAACCAAATAATCGGTGATGTTGCCAGTCTTTTGATGTTGCGCAATTGAATTCACAATTGCTTTGTTTTACGAGGAAAAATAAACCTTCAAGATTTCCCACACTTGATAGGTTCAACTGCAACCAATCACACAAACTTTAAATTGGATATCCATGGATTCAAGCATCGAAGAATACAAAAGATTGTCCTTATGTTTGAAATTCTCAAATGTAGGGTTGAGTATTCCTTTTGCTTCATCTTCTTTGCTTAGAAATTTTGATAGAATTTGATTGGCTCCAAGAAGATGCTTTCGCAGATGATGCCCTTTGATTGTAGATTCTACATGTTGCATCCAAGTCAAATAATTGTCTTCTATGAGCTTGGATGAAATCATAGATGAAAAGTTTGAAGACAAAGTTTTATGTTGCGGAAGCCATTGATGTTGATGGATTGTTTGACTAATATGATAGGATACACAATGAGAGAGAAAGATTGTGAATCAGAGAAAAGATTGAAATGAATAAATCCTTTTTTATGTTAGAAGAGAACCTCAAGATAGTATTTATACATGAGTGTGATAAAATATAACTCTAATTACTTTAAAACTAATCCCAATAGAATTATAACAAACTATCTAATTAAAGGTTAATTGACACTTAATCTATTTTATAGATGTATCCTTATCAATTCTCCTAACCTTCTATGTCTTATGCCTTAATTTCCTTCCCTCTATCTTCCTCGACAAATATGACACTGTTACGATCAAGTCTCCACACAAATACGCACACAACACATGAAACAACATCACCATAGAGCCTGCGTTTTCGCAACTTCTAACCATCCTAAAATATTAAGTAGTTCAATCTCTAGTTGAGAGAATAACAACAACAACCGCAAGAGTGACGTTCACATGTTGTGTCAAAGAGTTGACAAATTTGTTGAGAGAAGTCCTAACTTGATGGGAATTATAAAGGGAAAGAGAGAGATGAAGGACACATACAAATTTTTATTTTTATTTTTACAAATATCAACTTTTATATAATAAAATATTAAAATAAATAATAGTTGATAATAAAAATTAATTTTAAATATTTTAAAATATTAAAAATTAAATCTTAAAAAAAAATTTAAAGATTAATTTTAAAGTGCACTATTTTTATAAAAATAAAAAATATAATTAAACTTTCTTTTTAAGAAAAAGACGCATGTTTATAAAAGTTTTTTTTTTATCTTATTCCTTATTTTATAAAACAATTTTTTAACCAAATGTTAATTACATTTTAACAGTTTTTATTTATAGATGCATTATTACATATTAAGCAAATTATTCATTAATTTATTTATTATATTACATATAATTACAAAAATATTACATTGACCTCATAATAATATTACAGATATAAATATAATAAAATATGACATATATTAGATAAAATAATAGTAATATTTTTTTCCCTTTAAGGGAGAATACTGATCATAAAGATGGGTCAACGGAGAATCACAAGGAATGAAAGAGAAAAATTAATATAGCTTATTACATTCTGACCGTGTGTTTTACAACTTTAAGAATTCAGTAATCTTATAAGAACATACTCAAATGTTCTTGTCATTAGAAATTGCACAATTAACATTAAAGTTATAACTTATAAACATTTAAAATAATAGTATTGGATATCTTACTAAAATATATAGGTTATAAGAAAAAGAACGAGAAAAAATAAGAAAGAAAAAGAATAAAGAGAAAATAAAAAATAATTTATTTTAATTAAGATAAAGTGAAAAGGAAAATTGAAACTTCACTCCCTTGATTAATTTGATTAACTAGAAAGATAAAAGAAGAAAACTAATTAAGTAATTATTTACTAAAAATATCAACACTTTGAATTTTAAATTCTATAAATTTTTATGCAATTTTAATTATTGAAAAACATATAAAAATACGTAATTTTAGTTCCTTGACAACAATTTAAAATCACGTGTTTTTATTAAAATTAAATAAATTTTCTATAAAGATTAAAATAATAAACAAGAATGCTTTTAAGAATTAATTAGTTAATTAATTAAAAAATGATAAATTTTCCTTTAAGGGAACTTCAGACATGACGTGAGAAAGAGACAAGGACAAAATGGAAAATAGCAAAGCGAAAGTTGACTATCACAGTATTGGAACAAGACTTAAAGGGTCTTCTTTTAGAAATTAGGTTGAGATGATCGAAAATTACAAAAAAATAAAATATATTAACAATATTTTTAGTAATTTGTTCTTTTTTATAATTTTTAATTAATGTATTGATTAATATTTAACTATACAAAATATGAAAAAATTATTTTTGTCCTCTAAAATCACAAGCATATGTAATTACAGTTGTAAAAAAAGGTGAATATGAATACCATTTTTTTTATTTATAAAAAGGGGTGTCAGTCATGCATGAATTATTGTTCGTCCGCAGACGAGAAAGGGTATCTTTCAGATGGAAATAGAGAGAGAGAGAGTCCCGTTTGAATTCGGCACAGATAAAAATTATAATAAAAAGTTGTTTGCATTTGAACGTAGTTAATATTCTATAATAAAAATATTTATTTATTTTTCATTTGCCATTGTTAAATAGTGGTAGCAGTAGTGTGATACATGGATGGAGGGGGAATGTGAGAAAGTTATGGGTGTTTGTTCGTGGCAGAGAAAATGAGGAGAGTAGTGTTCTTCTGACATGAGATGACTAATGTCCAAGAGCGCTTCAATGCATAAATGGGTGTGGGAAGAACCTGCGTGTGGCTTTTTTTTGTCACATTAGCTTGTCAGATACTATTATTATTTCCCCTTCTCCGACAGGTGTTTACATAAATGACTCTAGTGAGAGGGAAAGAGAGAGCTTGTGCATGCATTTTATCTACAATTTTATATGCAAAATGTTTGTACTCACTCATGGAGTGTCTATACATATTTTAGGAGATACCAAATTTTAAAGTAAAAATAATAAATGTAATAAATAACATAATGTCATCAAAAAGAATAAATAAAAATAAAATATGTTAAAAAAATACAGTTAAAATATTTATATATCATAGTTGTTATTACGTAGTGTTCAAGGTGGCAAATAGCTCTGAGCAATATAAGACGTTTCAATGTTAGGCCATGTAACTATAGATTATTGTTATGATCTTCGACGAATACCTTTCCATGCCTAGCTAAGTGAAAAGGTAATTGATTTCAGCAATTTATATTCAAATTTTCATAATCTTGTGGTACGAAATTATTTTGATAAATGATGCAAGGAACAGGCTTGATGATTATTGACTGTTCTCCGTGTGTCTGTGATTTTCCTCTTGTAATATTAATTTTTATTTTATAGTGCAATTTAACTAAAAGTCATGTTAATAAAAAAATATAATTATTATTTATTTTTTATAAACTAAAATAATTGTAGCTTCCTCTTAATGTCAAACAAATTAATAGGCCGTATATTATTTCTTTAGTATAGATTATATATTGATTTCTACATATAGAAAATCTGTATTTGTAAATTACACATAAAAGAACTATCAATATTAGTATTAACAAGAATGGTATATTTTTGAGAATTTATTTTTTTATTAAATTTAATAACATCATATAATTTATATAACTGACTTTTTAATAAGATAAGACTTATATTATTGCTGTTGTTGTAATAATGTGAATGAAAAATAGCCTGGAATTTATATTCACACAAATAAGGATTTAAATCATATCTTCGTTAATTAAAAAATGATTTAAGGAAAGAATTCCTACCATATATCATCATGGGAAAAACTCATTTAAAGTTCATAAATAAAAATGTTTATATTACTAAATTTATTTAAACCAAATACATTGAAATTGACTTATAAAAAATCAATTATCACTGTACTTATTTACATACTCTAAAGTAAGTTTAATTATTTGTTTATAATCAAATAATGTTAGATATCAAATTAAATAAAATAATACTTTTAAAATATTGTTAATGTATATTTATTGTATTTTTAAATATATTTTTAACAAAGATATTTGTATGTAAAAATTATATTTGTTAAATAAAAATAAAAATAATTAATTTTTAATAAAATGATTATTATCAATTACTTAAACTAAATCTTAAAATTTGAATGTAACAAAAATGAAAAAATATATATATAGAGAGAACCTTTTATTTTTTTTTTGTTTTTATCACAAAACAAGGTGTTAATTAAGTTTCTACTTATGTTTATTATTATTTTAATTTTTTTTATATATAAACTATTTTTACTATTAATATGATTATTAAAACTATTTCAGTTAAAATTTATTTAAAATAATAATAATAATAAATATTTAAAAGTGGGAATAGATACATCCCTCCACGTCCACCTTCTCAGCTCTTGAAGCAATTTCCAATTCAAAGATCCCAAAGTACCTTAGAATAAGAGGCGTCTCATTGATTAATTTATTGTGAGCGTGTAGGTGCGTATCAGGAAGAAGAAAGAGAAATTAAATATCAAAGTTTGTGCACTATAAATGCTTTCTCTTCTCTACAACTATAAGATAATGATTTTCATATAGAAATTTGACCTTTCTTCTTCTTCTTCCCTCACATAACTATGGCCTCCTGCCACTAGTCGCACTTCTACTTCATGCACACAAACTGTTACTACTTCCCTATATATACATTTTTACATATAAAGTTGGAGGCTAGCCATCTCTTTCACTATCAGAGTCATATATCATAGATGGCGTCAATGAACTGGTTGGATTTTTCGCTCTCCCCTCAAGAACTTCCACCACAACCTCCTAGTAATGAAGATCGCTCTCAAACGATGACCCCTCACCACGCCTTCAACTCTCACGGAATCTCAGCCTCTGATGTTTCTGCCCAATGCTTTGATCTCACTTCACACTCCACTACTCATCACTCTCTCAACCTCCCTCCTTTTGGCTTGTTTGAAGACAACACTCATCATACCCCTCTAGGTTCCATTTCTTCCTCCACAAAATCACAACTTTTCATTATTCACCAATAAAGAACATGAAAAAAAAAATGCATATACAATTACATGTCTCAGTCCCTTTTTTCTTTTGCTACTTATACTCTATGCTTCATGTTTGGTTAGCTAGAACTGATACAAATGTAATAAACTTTGTGATTAATCTCACTAAATTAAAGGGTCACTTTTTTTCTTTCTTTTTGATAGATTGGAACACAAAGGGTTTGGGAAGCAACACGGAGGATAACTACAACAGCCAAAACTTGCTATTGGGCACTTCCACTTCATGCAGCAGTGACCGAAACGTAGACAGCAACCAACAACACCCAAAACTCGAAAACTTTCTCGGTCAACACTCTTTGGGCGAACACGACTTTATGTTCCCAAACTCTTCACTTAAACTTCCTCCTCAGCCGTCGGAAAAACCGGCAACCTGCGGTGACGGTAGTCCCAAAAATAGTAGCTCTATTGGGTTGTCTATGATAAAGACATGGCTGAGGAACCAAACGACAGAATCAGATTCTGTTCCTGCGGCAAACACATCCCTTTCCATGAGTACTACAGTGTCACAGTCAAGCACGTTAGCATTGCCCCTTCTAACGGCAAGTGTGGATGGAGAGAGTTCCTCTTCGGATAGTAAGCAACAGCAAGATAATAACCAAACCGTAGCTATTGTTGAGAATGTGCCTAGAAAATCTGTTGACACATTTGGACAGAGAACATCTATATACCGTGGTGTAACCAGGTTTAATTTTCAATTTTAGTTAATTTCGAAACATATTTATATATGAGCCGTTGAAAGCATTAATTTCATTTCTTTGTTGCTGCTCATTTTTTCTTCTTTTTAATTAATTTCGGTTGCTAAATTATTGCGTTAATCTAATGTGAGATGATTAATTTAGGGTTTGTTGATTTTGAAGGCATAGGTGGACGGGTAGATATGAAGCTCATTTGTGGGACAATAGTTGTAGAAGAGAGGGGCAAACTCGCAAAGGAAAGCAAGGTGCGATCTACCATGCGTTCTCTTAATTTTCTGATTAATTGCCAAGATCTTTGTCTCCCTTATCCTCTATATTTATTATTTATTATTATTGTTATTATTATCTGAAATCCACTAGTGACTATTAACCTGTGTTCTTTTCCCCTTGCATCCCTGATCTCTCTTCAATGGGGCATCGTCTTCGTCAACATTCTTGTTTTTGCAGTTTACTTGGGTGAGTAGAAAAAACGAAGGCACGATTTTCAATTATAATTAGTGTAGTTGTTTTTTCGTTTTTGCACTCCCCAGATAGGCTTTCATCGTTGTTTTTGTTTTGAAGGCATCGTTTCCACGCAAAAGAGAAATTTTAAGATGTGGTCAAGGAATGGATCATTAAACAAATGAGAAAATTTCGATATCCACTTCTATTTTCAGTACATTAAATAAAGGACATCGTATTAACATTTGCGCATGTTTATAAAAAGGAAATATATAGATCACATAAACTTTTCTCTTCATGTAAAATTTTGCGTTGAAAAATTCCGTTTAACATTTCTAGTATATTTGCAGGAGGTTATGATAAAGAAGAAAAGGCAGCTAGAGCTTATGATTTGGCAGCACTGAAATACTGGGGAACGACAACAACAACAAATTTTCCAGTAAGTTGCTCATTTTCCTCTCTCTCGCATGCTTATTATCAGTAGTATTACATTACAGGCAATGTTGGCATTAGAAAAAACATACAACAATGCTGAACAATGAATCATTTCCATATAGCAGTTATTACTGGGATCACAAAATGTAAATTGGCATCAAAGATGTACAATAAAAATAGTACTTTTTATGAAAAATATAATATTTGACGTTATTAATGTATTAATTTTTGTATTTTTAATAAAATTATAAATTATGTATAAATTTTATCTTTATCCCAATGTACATGTATTTTGTCACTCGACTGGGAATAAGTTTCCTCATTTCATGGGATGTGTCTGCGTCAAAGGAAAAAAATTAGATTATCTGTCTTGGAAGTTAGAATACAAACCATGCACATGCTTACTGATTCTGGTGCTTCTAACATTGGATCCTTTATCTTCGTCAACAATCAATGAATTGTAGATTAGCCAATATGAAAAGGAGTTAGAAGAAATGAAGCACATGACAAGGCAAGAGTACGTCGCGTCACTGAGAAGGTATTTACAAATGCCACTCCCAATCTGCATATAATATGCTTAATAGTAAGTAAAGATGGATATGAACTTGATTTTTTAATACATGCTTAAATTATGTTGAGGCAGGAAGAGCAGTGGATTCTCTCGCGGTGCATCCATTTATCGAGGAGTAACGAGGTACTGTTGACTAACCATTGAATAAATATTTCGTGTATGTAACTGATCATTGGGGTTTCTTTTATAAATTGTTTCATTTTTTATTAAGTGAAATTAACTAGTCGTCACCTAACTATTCATTTGGTAAAATAGCATGACTTTTATCGAGGTTCTGATTAAGATAGTAAGATTTTTGTTTTTGGCGATTAGGTATATGCAGATCATTTGTCCTGAAAACTACTCCTATGCAAAAGAATTGTGAAAGAATGCAATCTATTAAGATAAAACCTAGATTATATTCTTTTTATTATTCAATTAGATAATGATATATGTTAATCTTTCAACATTAAATAACATTTATTAAGAATATATTGCAGTATCTTTTTTAAAAAATTACATGTAATTTGATTGGAGAATTTAATAACCAGAATATAAAAATCTTGATCTAAATTTTGTCTTATTAAATAAAGTAACAAACCCACCATATTAATATATCTTCGGCTTCTGTTTATTGTGCTTTTTTTATTTGAAAGCTCATTGTTTAGTAGTGCTTTTTGCTGTCGCTGTGGTGTGTATTTTTTAGTAATTGCATACAATATTTAAATTATGCATAGCCATATGCACCCCTTGGTTTTGATAAGGGAGTTGCTTACACGGTGCATATAAACCAAATATTAGATTTTCTTATATTATTTTACCGGTGTAATATATTGCAGGCATCACCAACATGGTAGGTGGCAAGCTAGGATTGGAAGAGTTGCAGGCAACAAAGATCTCTACTTGGGAACTTTCAGTAAGATTTCCTAGGCTTTTTCTTATATAACTTTCATATGCATACGAATTATACAATACATTTCTCTATGGGTTGTGATATCTTTATAATTTCATTATCAAATGGTGGTAATATACTAGCTAGAAACTATTTTCTTTACATCAAACATATCAGCTGCAAAATATAAATAGCTTTAACACTTTGTACTTAGGGTAATGGACTAGGTCAGCAATTAACTATTTTAGTCATATCTAAGTTAACGCTTTAGTAATGAATAATGATACTAGAATAAATTAGGAAAAAGAATTACTAATGTTAAATTGAAGAATGTTGGTCAATGTTTCTAGCAGTTCTTGTAATTATTGCTCTAAAAATAATGGTGCATAATTAATGTAGTTTGCCCGAAGAATTCATGAACCACCTGTGGTACCTTAATTAATTATATTTGCAGGCACACAAGAAGAGGCGGCAGAGGCATATGATATTGCAGCCATCAAATTCCGAGGACTGAAGGCAGTTACAAACTTCGACATGAGCAGATACGACGTTAGGAGCATCCTTGAGAGCAGCAATTTACCCATTGGTGGCGCTGCCAAACGTTTGAAGGATGTTGACCAGGTCGATCTCACCATCATACGTGCACAAACCTCAAACGTAGATTCCAACATTAATATTTATGGTGCAACACACCATGCTTGGCCTGCATCTCTTGCATTCCTCCAATCTCAACCATATACTAGCCATTTGAATTGCACATATGGACACAAACTTTGGTGCAAGCAAGAACAAGATTCCGATGTTCCTCAAACTTTTCATGATATTCATCAACTCCAATTAGGGAACACCCACAATTTCTTTCAGTCCAATGTCATGAGCATTGATTCTGCTTCTGTCGATAATAATAGCTCTGCTGCATCTAACTCTATCGTTTATGGGGATGGTTACGCGATTCCCATGGCTACTTCTACGTTCATTCAAGAAGATGATGTTAATCAAAATAATAGAAGCAGTGGTTTTGGAGATAATGATGTGAAGACGTTTGGTTACGAAAATGTGTTCACATCTATCAGTACAACCGATCCTTATCATGCAAGGAACTTGTGTTTTCTTTCGCACCAAACATCTGCAGATAAGGGTAGTGCATATGAAGCATGCAATAGCTGGGTGCCAACTACGATTCCAACACTTTCACCAAGGACTACCAATATGGCTCTCGTTCCCGGAGCTTCGTCGTTCACATTGTTGAACGAATAGTTTGAAATTTGAAAGAAGAATCATCTTAATTAAGGCGCATGAAATTAAGATGATGTATATACATTTACTGGCTTCCAAATTTTGAGTTTTCATTCTTCTTTTTCATCTCTTACGTGCTGGATCCATATTTTATAAGCGTATAGTCTAGCCTCACTTGTAGTCATAGCAGATCATCACGTTGCTATGAATTTTGGGAATTAACTACAGATACCGCTTAGCATTGGGGAGTTTTATTATAAAACAAGGCTTGGAGGTTTTGGAAAAATACTATTCAAATTAAGAGGACGTTGTTTTCAAGTTTGTTGATAGATCGTATAATTATACTAGCTATTTTCATGTTTAATTTCCTTTAAACATAAAAACAAGCACTCTCGTACGTAAGCAAGGCGTTACAAAAACATTCACTGTAGAGATAAAATGATAGTTTGAACTTAAAAAATATGATTCCTCCTCTCGTGGAAAAAATAATATTGAGAGAAACTTCTTAAAAGATTGATGTTAAGGAAAAATTTAATAATTTAAGTACCACAATATAGTTTGAACTTTCTTGGTCAATCTACTTTCTAGATTAATTTTAAAAATTGACTCTAAATTTTCTAATCAATTATTATAATTATATAGTTTATCTTTCAAAGTACACCTTTCATTTTGGAAATACAAAATAATCAAATACATTTAACATTTTGTCTATAGGTTTAGGTATTGGCGTGAAAAATTATTTATGTACTATCATACTTCATGAGTTGAAAAAACAAAAAATTTTCCCTTTCATGATCGTTTGTTTTGAGAGTTGTTTTTAATTAGTCTCTTACAGATAGTCAATTAATAATCAATAAAAACAGGGTCGAACGAGGTTATTTTAGAAATAATTATAGTTAGAGTAATTCTGTTTCAAAAAATTTTAAAGTTATTAAATTTTATTAATTTAATTATAGAATAATATTATATTAATATATTGACTATGTATACATAATTAAAATAAATAAGATATTTATAAATTTATGATTTTATGGTTAATTTTTTATATTTTAAAAAAATATACATTTAAATAAATTTTTTTGATGAAGTAATAATTATTTTTTTATAAACTTTTATAAATTTGATTTATTTAACAGAAACTTTAAATTTAACAGTTAAAATAACAATTTCTGTATTTTGTAATATTCAATAAAAATCATTAAACCAAGTAAAATTAACAACAATTACTATTAATTAAAATGATATAATTCCCGGCCATAAAATTAAGGACAAAAGTAAAATTTATTAAGTATTTTAATGCTATTTTTAATTAAAATTATAATTATATTTGATAAAATATATCAAGCTTAAATATCGATATTAATTTATTAAATATAATATTACTTTTAATTAGCAAACAACATAAAAATATCGAAAATGTTACTGGTTTAAATAAATTAATTTTAATATATATCTAAGAGATATAATAAAAAATCAATAAATAATATCTTTTATTAAAAATTAAAAATTAAAAATATTATGTAGTAGTATAAATTTTAATTTTGTTTTGTGCCTTTGGCCATATATTATAAAATGTATTCTAAAAGTAATAAAATAGAGCGAAATGGCATGAAAACCGAGGAGAGTTAGAAATATTGAAAGAACTGGAGTGGGAAGCACCCGTGCCTCTTTGGAACTGATTAATTAATCAATATTAGGGACCAGCTGTTTCTCTCTCTCTGTCTGCTCATATGCTTGGTTGCAGGATTATTTTCATTTTTCACCCTTATCCATGCACAAACTCTCTCTCGTCCAGGAAAAAGTGAACTTTGTTTACGTAAAGTAAGCTTGTAGCAGGGTCTCAATCCTTGCCCTACTTTTTGTTCCCATGCTTTGTCTCTATATTATTCATATAGATACAGTAGTGTGGCTTTATATCAGTGTTGCCATGCCTGCTCAATACCATCCCAAGATGCTTGACCAAGCCTTTACCAAAGAGGATATCATGGGTACTAATTATTTATAAGAAATAATGTATTAACTTATTCAAATTAATGAAACAATAATTATATTATAGTTTTATTTTAAGAATACTTATAATGTTAATTAATAGTTTTACTTTTAAATAATATTTAACTAATAGTAAAGAGTATATTAAAAAGTGTGTTTATAAGAGAGGGTTGGTGGCCTTGATGATATTATAAAACTGCATGCTTCATGTGCGTCTGTTTTATTGTCTACCCTTTACTTTGTCATCTCGTCGAATCCACTCGTAAGCTAACAAGATCTGGGAATGCTCATTTTGTGTACTTTTGCTGGGGCTCGTGCTGGATAATTTATTTTTTTAACCTGTGTTTTAAGGATATTTAATAAAAAAATTTAATAGATAATAAGATTTTATTGAAAATTATACTATTTAACTTTATTAATATATTAAATTTTATAATATTTTATAATTTAAAAAAGTTTACAATGTATAATTTTTTATTTATGCAATTGAACACATGTTTAAATATTAGTTCTTTAATTTATCCAATCCAGTGCCATGACATTGTAGTAGTCGAAAGTGGACCTCTGGGATTTAAAATTTTGGTTGACTTTGACCCATCTTCCTAGTACCGAGACATTTTTTCTTTTGAAACGCAGGTGTACAGTGTCTTTTTATGGATTTGATTTTATTCTTTGTGGGTGTAATATTTTGTTATGAACGACTGACCATTAACATATGGGTTATTTTTATACTGATAATTTACTATACTCTTAAATTGGGATGAGGGTAATGTCCACACCTGAATGCCATGCATGAATATTGGAAAAAGAAGAAAAAGAAGAAATAGCGTAATGCATGAATATCGACAAAAAGAAAATGAAAACCCATTCTCGCCCCCAACACGCATTACTTTGTCAATTTCGTTATTTAAATTATTACTAAAATTTACAATACATTTTAAAAGAAGTTTGTTATGTTTTTATAAACCACTATAATAATTTTTCTATTATTTTATAAAATATATAATAAATAAAAAAGTACATATCATTTTTATTTTTGAAACAATAATTATTTAATATTTTTTATTAATTTAAAAAATTTGTATACATAAAAGATAACTTTTTACAAAATACACTATTTAATACATCCCTTGTAATTAAATATTAATTTTTAAAAATTTAAAATATTTTTAAAATCAATTAATGAGATAAATATTTGTACTTTTAAAAATAGATTAATATATTTAAAAGTGTATTTAAAAATATATTATTAACATTTTTACTAAATATATTATTTACATTATTATTTTTTTACATGTATTTTAGATATATATTCTAAACATATCTCTAACCAGTGATATAATTTTTTTTTATTTTACTTTTTCATCGACAATTATTGTAAATAAAGATAGTGTTAGATATAATAATAATTTTTTATATTGATATAATTTTTTTATGTCAGTATAAGTTTAAAAAAAATTTATATTTAATTTAAAATATTTTTTTATTTTACTTTTTTTCTCGATAATTAATATAAATTAAGTGAAAAATTTAAATTAAATGTAAAATTTTTTAGATTTATGTTAGTATAAAAAATTCTTTATATATATATAAATAAAGAAACTTAACAAGAAATAAATAATATTTTGTACATATGTATTAAGCACAGAAAAAGTGTTATTAATATATTTTTTTTACTAATAATTAAGTTTTATTAAAAGGTATAGAAATATAATTAAGGTAAAAATATCATCTAAAAATAAAAAATAAATATTAATTTGACAAAACTCATAAATATTAGTGCGTAACAAGTCACAAGCTCAATTGAACTTGTATCCAACGTTAATTTTGCTTCAGATATTCCATGACATACTTCAACTACAAAATACGATTCAACCACTTGTATTTCTACAACATAATAAAAGGAATTAGATATAATATTTTCTTAGAAACAAAATTTTATTATTAGGGTGACATGTACAATATAAACCATAAGAAATGATGAGTTAATTCGATTCTTGTTAATTAATGATAGCTTTTCATCACTGGATGTGAAATGTCTTTTTGCCTCTACGTAACAACCTTCACTCTCCTTCAAACTTTCCAAAAGCCCCAAAAAAAAAGGAAGGAAAACGATGGATGATTATGATTGGTTTAAAAAATAATTGTGATTCACAAACATTTAAATAAGATTAATATGATCACATCATATCATATATTATATTTGTCAATTATTTTTTTGTTATAAAAAGTAAAAACTTCCAATTAGCAAAAAAAAAAGAAAAAAGTAAAAAGTGAAAACTTCCATAAATATCTACAAAACATTTTCTAAAAAATAATTGTTTGAGAGAGGAGATGAAAGAAACTAAAACTCAAATAGTTTAAAACCAAGAGAGTAAAGTAAAATAATAATAGAGACGACCTAATTTTCAAAACGAGTCAAGACGTGTCGTTTGGCGTTGAAATAGCAAAACATATTTAATTCCCTCTGGTTTACCTTAGCATGTTTTATTTTTATTTTTTGCCTTTTTTTTTGTATTTGTTAGTTGTTCGTTTTCTTCGTTCCTCAATCTCCATTGCCGTGTTGAAGCTTCACTTTATTTGAACGAACACGGCAACGACAATGGACTTTAGTTTTATCACAAAAAAGGCATAGATAAAATCCTATAATTGAATCGAGCTTAAGCTGTGCTGGATCTGTTTCCCTCTATTCTTCTTATTCTTTATTATTTATTTCAGTTTAATTGAAGGTGGTAAAGCTACTTAATTAATGGATCTGAGAGGATTAGTGATATTAGTGACGATTCTAGTTGTGGAAATTCATTGCGTTGCAAATTTAGTGTTTCCAGTGCAGCGTCGCAGAACGAGTTTAAGCGCTATTAAAGCTCACGACGCTCGTCGTCGAGGGAGACTTCTCTCCGCCGTTGATCTCAATCTTGGCGGCAACGGTCTTCCCACTGAAACCGGGTTCGTTCTTTTTGCTTCTTTTTGATTCAATTTCGTTTAATATGAATTGTGAAATACGATTGAGCTTACAATGATTAATTATTATCTTATCTTCATGCTTAGTTATGTTGTTGTTTATTTTGTTTAGTTTGTATTTTACGAAACTTGGTCTTGGCTCTCCTCCGAAGGACTACTATGTGCAAGTTGATACAGGCAGTGACATTCTATGGGTGAATTGTATTGAGTGTTCGAGGTGTCCAAGGAAAAGTGATCTTGGTGTATGTGTCTGTCTAAATTTTTTCCACACTTTTCAGCTTAAGCTAAAGAATTAATTGGAGTTGAACTCCACTCCAAGTTATGTTTGACTTGGGTTGAAATTCATGTTTTTGTTGTTAATTGCAACAGATAGATTTGACTCTTTATGACCCAAAGGGCTCAAAAACTTCAGAGTTGGTTTCTTGTGACCAGGATTTTTGCTCCTCCGAGTTTGATGGTCCAATTCCTGGTTGCAAGTCTGAAATTCCTTGCCCTTACAGCATAACTTATGGAGACGGGAGTGCAACTTCGGGGTACTATGTCAAGGATTATCTTACTTTCAACAGTGTTAATGGTAATCTCCATACTGTACCGCAAAATAGCAGCGTCATTTTTGGGTGAGAATAAGTACTATCACTAATGCTTTACAATTCACATTATATCATATATTGTTTACTTCTCACGATAGCTTTTAGGCAAATCGCGTCTGCTGTCTTTGTTGTTGAATTGGATTAGGAGTTCCATTCCACGAGAGAATTATCTTGGTTGTAAATGGAAGTTTCAGTCTTTTGAATCAATTGTTTTTTGTAATGTGAATACTGAATTCTTTCCATTAAAGTGGGGAATTTTAGTGTTCTATTTTTTACTTAGAAATGTTTAACTTCCTAGGTTGATAAAGACTTAAAGAAAAGCATTGCCATTTTAAATTTTTCTCCTTGTTTGTTTTATACAGGTGTGGTGCTGTACAATCTGGGACATTGGATTCATCTTCTGAAGAAGCCCTTGATGGAATAATTGGTTTTGGACAAGCAAATTCTTCTGTGCTTTCACAGCTTGCTGCATCTGGAAAGGTGAAAAAAATATTTTCACACTGCCTTGACAATATTCGTGGTGGTGGAATATTTGCCATAGGGGAAGTGGTGGAACCGAAAGTCAATACTACTCCATTGGTACCAAAAATGTATGTGCTATAACTTAGTCTTTTGTTCCCATGTCATGATATGGTTATCATATAAATTAAAGGACAAATTTGCCTGTCACACAATACTGAAACTATCAGTAACTATCAGTAGCAGAACATCTTTTGCATAACCTCGTTTCATCACTTCATGTACACAACATTTTCACAAATCAACGATAATGGATTTACATTTTCACAGATCAGCATCAAATATATGATTGCTTTGAGCTAGACCTTTTCTAGTTCCTTGTCCTTTTTTTTTTTTTATCTTGTTAGGATTATTTAAATTTTAAAAGAATTTGGTATGTATGAAATTCCACTTTTATGTCTCTAGCAAATAATTAAGCTAGCTCATAGGGTAAAGATTGCTTTAACCTTTATAAGCTCTTATTTAGCCATATCTATAGTCAATGTGGGACTTCAACAAATGGTAAGTGATAACTTTCTTTTTTTGTAGTGATCCACTGAAAGGTTAAATAAATCACATAGGTCACATAATGAAGGTGTCCTTTATGTTTTTGTTAAACTTGTCATGAAATGTTCTTTCAGATTCTTATAATTATGTGTCAACATCCAGTTCAGATCTTGGGTTCGGAATTATGCCATAACTGTTATATCTTGAATATTATAGGGCACACTACAATGTGGTCTTGGAGAATATTGAGGTTGATACAGATATTCTACAGCTTCCCTCAGATATATTTGATTCCCGAAATGGGAAGGGGACAGTAATAGATAGTGGAACAACCTTGGCTTATCTTCCAGAGATAGCTTATGAACAACTAATTCGGAAGGTAAGTTTATCTATAAAGATTAACTGAATCAATATTTCGACTTGAGCATTCATGAATGTTCTTTATGATAGGTTATGGCCCGGCAGCCTGGACGGAAATTATATCTTGTTGACCAACAATTTAGCTGTTTTCAGTATACTGGAAAGTACGACACTTATCTTTGTAACATTCTTTTGTTGACATTTTACATTTCTTTTGCAAATTGGAATAAGTATTGCTTGATTCTACAAAGCTTTTAATTGACTTAGGATATCACATATTTATCAGAAGTAAGTGAGGTTTATTTTCTTGGTTGTTTAGCCCATATCTTCATAAGTATCCTGTCTATCACTGTTTAGATAATATTGGGTAATCCAATATTCTGAAACCTGCAAGGGGGAAAAGATTGTCATAAACTAAAGGACATAGGACAGTCGGTAGTAAGTAGGATCAGAGCTGTGTAATAGAAGTTGTTTACTTGAGCAACAATGGAGCTTTGACATATATCTATATTTTGACTTTAGAATTTCTGATTAGCTTCTGGGTAAAGTGAAGGTATTGGGTCCTATCAGGACTTTGTTAAACAGACAATAAATGATGATGCCAATTCCCTTTCTCAATCCTTTGGAATTTCAGTTTTGGGTTTCTGTATTACTTTGCCCTTTTTTCTGTTTGTGAAGGAAGCTGTTGAGTTAGTTGGATGGCTATATACAAATAATCCCATATTTGATTATTTTAAGTTGCACAGAAATATATAAACTTTTTTGTTGCTACATACACTTTAATTTATATTGCAAAAGAATCCTCTGTTCAAGATGGTTTTTCTTTTAAAATAGTAACTGGGTATGAATTATTCAAGTGATGTTTGGGTAATTAAAATGCATTTTAGTTTTTGAGAATGAAAATACATTTTGATATGTATTTTACGTTTTGGCAAGAAGTGCACTTAAATTGTCAAGAGATGTAGGCCTTGGTGTTGACCATTGTAATCTTGCAGTGTTGATCACGGTTTTCCAGTTGTCAAGCTTCATTTTGAAGATTCTCTTTCTCTGACAGTTCATCCTCACGACTATCTGTTCCAGTTTAAAGTGAGTTTTGTTTCATTATTGAAGTACCTAGTTTCTGATTTGAGAAGTTTTGTAGATGCTATATACTTACATATTCAAATTGAAATTATGTTTTTAAGGGCAATAATCTAAGTTTAACCGATTGTCTGAACTAATTTCGCCATCTCTTGAATGTAGTGAGTGTTCTGTGTGTTTTATCATGCATGCTTATTAAATGCTATGCATAATCTATTTAGAGAAATTGTGCAATTGTAAATTAAATATCTATCTTTTGTTCACTGTGAACTATAATAACCGTTTAAATTGCCATCTGGAGAATTTTACTGTTATATTGTGTATCTTTTGAATTTATTTTAGAATACCTTAGTTTGATAAATTTGCTACTGGTGTTCCATTATGACATTTCTTAATATTATTTTGTTGTGGATTGTCCCCCAGGATGGTATCTGGTGTATTGGCTGGCAGAAAAGTGTGGCACAAACTAAGAATGGAAAGGACATGACCCTTCTTGGAGGTACAATTTAGATTTAAATGTCACTTTAAACTAATCCAGTGCTCTCACTTGGTGTAAGTTTATAGAAACAATTTGTGCATTAAGCATCCAATTGAGTCTGTTTCTGATTGTTAAGATATTGTGGTCATTAGATTATTAGTCTTATTGTTAGTGAATTTTTACTTGTAGTAGTAATCCTAGTAGTACTTGACCTAATTGTAGTATAAATAGGAGTATTAGGTTAGGGTATTGTATCACATCCTATTAATAATATGTTCAGTGTTATTATAGGTGGCCATGTCTTTCTCTTTTCTTTCTTCCATAACCCAAAACCTATAATTCTAACACTGATGTGTGTTCATCTTATAGTTTTTAATCTATTCAGCTATTTGTTGAATTAAGAATTTTCGTATACTTACTTTTGGACCTTTGCCTTTTCTATTGATTCTGTGTGTGTGTGACTAATCTGTACTATTCGTTTTGGAAATCTTTGCTAGTTAATATTGGATGTCAATCTCAATATCATTTATTACCTTTGACTTATTTTCAATTGCAGATTTGGTGCTATCAAACAAACTAGTGGTATACGATCTTGAAAATATGGCCATTGGATGGACTGACTACAATTGTGAGTACTAAGTAGGCTCTCGTAATTTTTTGTTTTCTCCTTTATTGTATGGTGTAATACTTCCTCTGTTCTTTTTTTATCTATCCACTTTTAGAAGAAATTTTTGTTCTTATTTATCTGTCGTTTTAAAAGTTCAAGATAATATTAGTTACTATCTTTCTAATTACACCCTTATCACTACTTTATTCTTAAATATTTTATATAGTTATCATAAATGAGAGAGAAATGATAATGGAAGTCATATCAGGAAGTTAAAAATAACTATAATATAAACAAGGATAACAATTACATATTTTAATTTGTGTGATATTTTCTAAATGAACGGATAAAAAAGAAGGGAGATAGTATAATACTATAATCCCAGTCATATATTAATACGTGGAATGTATAATCCTAGGTTGAATCAAGTTTATATTACCTTAGATCATTTCCTTTTAGTACTCTTAAATTTAAATCAATTTCATCATTCCTAATCCAAACCTACACCGGCTTGAAATGTATTTCATGTTGAATTTTTGGGTAAATTACACTCCTTTCTGTTGAGAGATACTTAAATCACATTATCCTTAAAAATTACACTTTCCTGCCTTGATAAATTAAATGTGTTACACTTTAGTATATTTTAATGTAAATGAATCTGTTAAAACTGGCAAGATAAACAATTATCTCATGGGCAATTTTCTTCTCTATGCAACTTTTAGTGTTACTACCTGCAAATTTTCAACATCCTATTGTCAGTTTGAGGAGTTTAGACTTGAGAAAGTAAAATTGAATTTTAAACATTCTTATCGGTTTCGAAGCTTAGCCCAGTTTTTATTTCACCCTCTAAAGTCCTAAGTTTGATAATAAGTTATAAATTAGCTACCAATGATGCTAAGTGCTGCAAAGAGTGAAATATTGTTCCCAAGAGACTGGTTTATATTCAAATGTCTTAAGTATAAGATATGACAATCTCTCATGAGGATATTGTAATATTTTAAAATAGAAGGAAAAGTTTTGTCATTTAGGAATTTATCAGGTGGAGGGGTGTATAATTTACTTTTTTTAAATGACCATTTTTTATTTTCGTGTTAGAAATGTAAGGTTAATTTATGAGAGCTTGACCAAAAGGAGCATCATTTGCTGTAGCTATCTTATCCATATAACTCTTATGTTAATTTCTATTGGTTTTTTTAGATAAGTTTGTGATATTGATGCATGCCTGAATAACTTTCTTAACATTGTGGTGTGGGTTTTTTAGGCTCTTCCAGCATTAAAGTGAAGGATGAAAGGACTGGAACAGTACAAACAGTCGGTGCACACAATATTTCTTCAGCTTCTACCTTTTTTATTGGAAGAATATTGACATTCTTTTTGTTGCTAACTACCATGCTAAACAGTTAAATTAACTTGGTTTTGACATAGGTGGATGACATTCATTTTATTTTGTTGTACCATAATTCCTGGAATGATAAGGTGTGCAGTGTGGTTGATATAATCATTACTCGTATAGATAGAATCAACAAAGGGCCAATTTTTTTAGGTTTTTTCAGTAGCTATTTTTTATGTATTATATTTTAAATAGGGAAAGTGTATGATTGATTTTCTAATGAATGCATTGTTTTTCCTTGATTTTTTTTATGATGATGGTGATGAATACTGTTGTTCATACTAACGGTAGTATAAAAAAGAGTAAACTTTTACGAAATACGTAGAATAGTTCAAATAAATTTCTTAAATTTTAAATTTGAAATTTAACTTTTTAGAATTAACAATTATTAATTATATTAGTTTTTATCATTAAAATATGTTAAAATTGAGTAACGAAATGAAATAATAATGTTATGTTAAAGTAACATGTGTTAGTTTATTTTAGATATAAAATAACATAATTTTAGAATTTTTTAAAAGTAATTTATTTTGTATTTGACTTCCAACATTTTTAGTTAATATGATTTTTTTCATCTTTTACTTTATCTTCTTCAGTGTCTTTTTCTTACTTCAGTTATCCCTCTAATGGCATTTACTAAACCGCAAACTTAAATAACATACAGTTAGCAAATGATTGCAGACAGACAAATAATACCATAAGAGGAACAAAACTCATCGGACAATAAATTATGTTGTAAGTAAAAAGGAAATATTAAATTTAAGAAGGATCATCATCTCTTAGAGTGTTTTATATAAACTAAGGAGCAAATGAATTCAAAAAAGAGGAAAAGTCCCAACAATAGAGAAGTGATTATGGAAAACAAAAACATGAATTTTGATTTTCACAAAGTTATAGATATTAAAAAATTATAAGAATGTAATATTACACGTTATAATAAAAATTTTCTGTCTTTAATCAATATATTTAAAGTATTTGTAAAAAAGCATCCTTTCTTATGCGTTGATGATTTTATATTTGTAATAAATTTTAATCATTTATAAATAATATATTGAAAATAATATTTGATAGTATTTTTTGTGTATATAAAAAAAGTGTTGTTGAGGCTCTTTAGTGTGCTTTTTTGGATAGGCGTCGTGCCACTATTCTTTAAGGATGATAAAGTGATCACTCCCTTCCTTTTATTCACAAAGCAAATTTCAACAAAGAATGAAAAGTAGAGAAACAACAGTGAAAGTATGACAAAAATGCAAAGAAATCAGCCATGTTATCAAAAGGTTGAACTCTTTTTTGTCTTACTTGTAAATTACAAACAAGATTAGTAGAATTTATTAGAATATTGTAAATATAGTAAGGGCACATTTTGTAATTATATACTTTTTTCTATAAAATTGAATAGCTTCGTTGTGCGCAAAACACACATATTCATTCTAATATCTCTCAATATTTCTTTTTTCAACATGGTATCTAGAGCCTAAGGAGAGACATTTCATTTACCTACCACCACTGTTCCGCGTCGTTGCCACCATGGTCTGACCTCCAATCACTCCACCGTTGTAGTCACCTCTATTAGATCGGTCGAACCCCGTTGACCACACCCTCTGATAGACGATTGTCGAGTCGTTATCAAAACAAATAAGTTTTCTAAAGATTTTGTAGTATAGAGCCAAACCTAGGTCAATTCACGGAGACACATTTTCAGTCAAATTCAATTTTAGGTTTTCTTTTAAAAAATGCAAATAAGGTTTTTGGGGTTTTGAAAATTACAATTAATCAAATTAAATTATGAACAGAATTAAAGTGAGTAAAAAATGAATTAAGAAATATCAATCCACAGAATATCAATTGCGTGTAACTCTAACTATTACAGTATCTAAAGATTTAAATCCACGTTTGAACAATCACCCAATTCAATTATTAATTCAGTCGAATAACTTAATTAAATAGAGTTATGAATTAAATCAAATAATTATTTAACATAATTCGCATTAATTATCAAATTAGAGCGTCAATCGAGTCCTAATTTGAAATCTAACAACAGAAAAGTCAATCACGATCGCAATAAATAATTCTGAGATTAGAGAGAAAAAGAGAACAAACTCAGAGCAATTAGCGTAGAACTCAAGTCGAAACTATAGTGTATGGATTCCGCGAATTGAACGAGAGGTTTAGCCTTCTATCGAAATGCTTAACCCACGCAAGAATGAGAAAAGAACAAGAGAGTTCGAGAGAAAGTAAAAACAAAGATTCTTATTTCGGTCTAGTTTCAAAAGCTCAAAGTGTCTAATCACTCTCTTTAGTTTAGAACCTTATTAGTCTATTTATAGGTTCTGATTATGGTAAATTAAGTGGCCAAAATGTGGGTCTCAATAATATCTAAAAGCCCAAATATAATTATTAAATAACAAGGGTCTAAATGCAATCCTGCAACAATATTTAGTAAATCTGTCTCAACTTCAAAACATCATAAAAAATAGAAAATAACTCTAAATCTAGCAATCTATATATGCATTTTGAAGCCCTGGATGTGTAGAATCCAATGCAACTATAATCATCCAAAAATGATATGTGTAGAAAAATTTATGGCCAAAATAGTAGTCAGAGGTTAGAATAACCGAAAATTCAAAATAAAAGCATTTATTTGTTATAGGCCCAATTTATTCAAATAAGTAGAAAATGGTAAAAACTATAAAAATAAAGAATATGAAAAGTGTTTATTAATTAAAATAAAACATTAAATGTAAACATAAAATATGTTACATCTCCCTCATCAGAGTCCTCACGTGCCCCATGCGCTGCTCTCCTTTCTGTCGCAATTTCTCACGCGCCACCTTTTCTCTCTGCGCGTGACAGTGCATCTGGCATCCTTTCTTGATGCTGTCGACTGGGGTTTGCTCACCCCTCTCTCCTTTATCGATATCTGGTCTCGGTTGAGTGTTTTGGACATCTATTTGCCCTTGTTATGCCTGTTTTTGCTGTTGTTTGAGCATTTTTCTCTCTCTTCTCACTGACCAATGGCTACCTCCAACACTCAAAAATCTGACACTCAGATTTTTACTAACCATGTCACTACATTACTCCTCTTGGATTTCTCACATTGAATTTTGGCATGTTGGACAGGATTATGAGACACATCTTACCCAAATAAAGACGATGTCCTGGAAGCTAACTATCCTCTGTGGAAAAAGGTTGACGCTCAGTTGTGTTGTATCATCTGAGCCACTATTCACCCATCTCTTTGTGATGTCTTTTGTACTCACAAAACCTACAAAACTATTTGGACACAGGCCCAACAACTCTTTACAAACACTTTTTGGTGACTCTACTAAGTTTGTGAAGATTTCATGAGTATCCTTAGTGCCCATTAGATTAAGGATTCTTTGTCAACCTATCTAGGCTTGGTGTCTAGCCTTCTCTGTGACTTCAATGAATTTCTTCCTCCTGCTGCCGCTCCAGCTACGGAACTTGAAAATCGCAAGAAGTTTTTCATGTCCTTGGTTCTATACAGTCTGCCCATAGAATGTTCTAATGTTCATGATCAGATCTTGAGTAGCCTCACAGAAGCTACTATGGACAGTACTTGGGTGACTCTCCTTCATGTTCCTCCTAAAACCTCCTTTGAGCCTTTGCTTCCTATTCCTATTTATTCTTCTGCTTTGTTTTTTCGCAACACCAATCGACCTCCATAACGAAAGGGCGACAAAGGACATCTCTAGTGTGATCATTGCCATAGACCGGGACACATAATTGATAAGTGCTGGACTCTACATGATTGACCTCCTCTCATTGCCCAAGTGGCTCAGAGTTTTGTGTCTCTTTCGTCAACTTCTGCTCCATTGTTGGCTTTCGATTCAAACCCATCACCTTCCTATGATGATTTCTTGAAAATGGCATGAAGATCGTCAAGCGTTCGGTTCCACTGCTGCTATTGCACACAATGGTAATTTCTTTGTTGGCCTCTCTTACTCTTTAGGTCCTTGAGTCTTTGACTTTCGGGTCACCGATCACATCATTGGTAATAAATCCTTTTTTTACTCTCTTTCTACTTCTGATTATTTACCTTATGTTACCATGGCAAGTGGCTCTCAAACTCAGTTCCAAGGTATTGGTATTATTTATCCTCTTCTTTCTCTTTCTATTCACAATGTCCTTTATGTCCTCAGGGCTCCTTTTAATATTTTGTTCATTAGTTAACTTAACCGGTCTCTTAATTGTGTCATCTCTTTTAATAAAAAATTATGTTTCCTTGCAAGACCAAAGTATGAGGAGGACAATTGGCTCCGGATGTAAGTCCTATGGCCTCTATCAGCTCAACAAGCCTTCTCTTGTTGATTGGGCAACAACATCTCCACTTATGATTCATGCTCGATTAGGACATCTAGGTCTTAATAAGTTGAAACAATTATACCCTAATTTTTCTAAGTTAGAGTCTTTGTCTTGTGAGTCATGTCAATTAGGAAAACATGTTCGTAATTCTTTTTCTAGTCATACTATGAGTTGAGCTTCGTCCCCTTTTGTTTTAGTTCATTCAGATGTTTGGGGTCTAAGTCATATTTCCTCTACATTAGGGTCCATATATTTTGTTAATTTTATAAACAATTTTTTTCGTTGTACTTGGTTATATTTAATGAAAAAAGTTCAATTTTTTTTTTCAATTTTCAATCCTTTTTTCATGAAATAAAAAATCAACTTGGTATCCTTATTCTCACTTTAGAAAGTGATAATGCACATGAGTTTCTATCTGCTCAGTTTCAAACCTTTATGGCATCTCATGGTGTGTTGCGTCAAACATCTTGTTCTCATACCCTCCAACAGAATGGAGTTACAGAACACAAAAAATAGGCATATTCTTAAGACCACCCGAACTCTTCTTATTCACTTTCATGTTCCTTGTTAGTTTTTGGGTGATGTAGTACTTATAGCATGTTATCTCATCAACCGCATGCCTTCTTCCATTATAAAAGGTAAAATCCCTCATGAAGTTCTATATCCTCACCACTCTCTTCATCCTTTACCACCTCGGGTCTTTGATTTTACATGTTTTGCTTATGCTCTTAGTTCTGGCATTGACAAGCTCTCTTCTCGGTCTCATAAATGTGTTTTCCTCGGGTACCTACGATCTTGAAAAGGATATAAGTGTCATTTCCCTGCTCTTCACAGGTATTTCATCTATGCTGATGTTACTTTCTTTGTATATACCTATTCTTTGGGCCTAGAACATCTATATTTGAGTATTCTCCATCCACC